CCATCAATAATGTGCAAACCTTAATGAAAATTGCATTAAATGAGCTAAAAAAAAATTATAGACACGATAGACAGTTAAATGATGATCACAAATTACAGTAAGTCAGTAAAATCAGTCAGTAAATCAAGGGATGTATTTAAAAGTTACAGTGTTTAGAAGGGTTTATTAATGTGATCCAGGTAAGTTTTAGATGTGACATGCAGTGATTAATGGGGTTATTAAATTAATCCAGGTATGTTTTGTTCTGTGTATGAATTCCGATAAAATGTCTGATAAAATGTCTTTGAATTTCCAATAAAATGTCCTTAAAAAGTCCTTGAAAAGTCTTTGGACAAAATTTCAGTCCTTCTGTATGAACCATGTTATACAGTAAGTACAGTTGTATGCAATAAACTCCTAGAGTCTAGTATGATTTTAATGCTTATTTGATAACGATTCCAGACGAGACACGTTCAATCATCTGACTACGTGGCTAGAAGATGCACGGCAGCATTCCAACTCCAACATGGTTATCATGCTTATTGGCAACAAAAGGTTATACATAACATGTGTTCCAAATATAAGTAACTATTAAAACTGTAGTGACTAGTTTAACAATAGATTACAGTTTACAACTAGTAAAATTTCAGTCAGGGGGAAGGACACAGGACTAGTTTTATTTAGTCCTGCGTGCGTCCGTGCGTGCCTGCGTGCATGCCTGCCTGCGTGCGCGCGTGCGTGCATGCCTGCGCACGTGCCTGCGTGCGTGATTGCGCACGTGCGTGCCTGCGTGCGTGATTGTGTGCGTGCGTGATTGCGTGCGTGGGTGCCTGCGTGATTGCGTGTGAGAGCGCGTGCCTGCGTGCATGATTGCGTGCGTGCGTGCGTTCATGCCTGGACACCTGCGTGCGTGCGTGCATGCGTGCTTGGGTGCGTGATGATTGATCTGTGAGTTGTTCATCTGCTCGCCATGTCAAACAAGGATGAAAGAGAAAATCAATAAATGAGTTGTTACCATTTCTGTAAATCAATAATTGCTTTAGATGGTATAATGCTGTTGCATGCTGTTATGGGTCTGCCCATGAAGCCTTATTAATGCCTTCAAATTGTGTAGATGCTGCCTTACAGCAGGCATGAAAGTGTGCCAGTTAAAGTTCCTACTCTGCATGTCTGCTAATCTGCATTTTCCCTTTCTAGTGATCTGGAATCGAGGAGAGATGTGAAGAAGGAAGAAGGTGAGGCATTTGCCAGGGAACACGGACTTGTTTTTATGGAGACATCTGCAAAGACTGCAGCAAATGTTGAAGAGGTGCGTTGATATACACATATTTGGCACTCTAGTTTTTGGCTTACATTGTGCACTTAGATCAATCGTATATGGTGCTATTGTTGAGTTTACATCAACAATAACTGCATAAATTTACATAGCTGTATCCACAAACGAACATGTCACCATGATCCACATGTACAATATTAGGATGTTATAGTCGTTATTTATCTCAGTCATTATATAGAACTATCATGGCAACTTGAATTACCTTCATAGCTTAGCCATCTTATATGTAGGGGCCAGGTTGGTTATGATGCTTTGATGTTGATGAACTAGCAGCACTGAATAGGTGGGGCTGTTTTCACACGTTCTCATTAATTATATGGCATGTTTGTAATGACAATATATATGCGACAATATATATGTGACAATATAATATGAGAGTTATTCATCAGCTGTATGTAAATATTTTGATGTACCGACTCCATTAAACGAACTGTTTGTTTTATCAGGCATTCATCGGGACTGCAAATGAAATCTTTAGGAAGATCCAGGAAGGTGTTTTCGATATTAACAATGAGGTAAGCTTGTGCCGTTTGGGTTTGTTAACAATAGTGAGGCGTTTTTCACTGTATTTACATAGATTAGAATTTTATTTGTGTGACATTACTATAAACTAGTCAATTTTGTTGAAAAATTTCAAGAGATTTGATTAACCAGCCCACAGTTACTTTATTTCAATGTTGAAAATAGTCTGCTGCTGGCTGTTTGAAGTTTTATTGTCAGCGTATATTGAGAGAAGTCGTACCATTCTAATCTGTTTAATAAAAAATCAGGCGCCTGAGTAATTGCTCGCATGGGAATGTTTTAGGTGAACAATGGCTCTTAATCGAATTTGCTGGCAGCACCTGCTGTTTAATATCCATTTTCATTTTATCTTTTATCTAGTTAAAGTCGAGTCAGTCATTTTAATTATTATCAGAACTTTGGTTCCTACACAATTTTCAACACAATATGCGACGTCACTTCGCACCACAGACCTAAATCGACGATGTGCCCGCCTGCACAATAATCAGTTTAGTAGCTCGCACTTCTTAATCGTGCGCCAGTGGCAAGCACGACACGTGTGTAGAACTATCATGGCAACTTGAATTACCTTCATAGCTTAGCCATCTTATATGTAGGGGGCCAGGTTGGTTATGATGCTTATTTGTTTGTATACCTACTGCTTTGGTAAATCATGTCACCAATGCTGAAATTGTTATCATGAACTAGCAGCACTGAATAGGTTGACAAACAAGCATGGCACGTGGGACTATTTGGAACACCTGTGCTATTCATTACTATATGGATGTGAATGAAACATGGAGTTTTGTGGACAGTGAAAATCACTATCATTGATATGCGATGTCCACAAAAACTCCCATGTTGCCCAAACAATGGGTAGTTCCACATAGTATTAGTCTTAGTTTAGCTATGATTTATTTATAACTCAATGAATAATAATTTAAATATCACCTTAAACTTTTAATAGCCCTTGTCCCTAATTGTTTCCCCCATACATAAGCAAAATCAAGAGATAGAAAAGACGCGCACACACACACATGCACACGCACGCACACTAGAAGATACATGGCAGACACTCAAAAACTGGAATATGCCATGTTCAGACAATAATAGCTCACGAATGCATAACTACACACAACTCAATCTCTTGCTCTTGCGCAATAAACAAAGTGCATCCAGAGAGACATGATACAAGATTTCGTGGCACAGCTTTGCTGTTGATCCTGAGCGCTGCGCGCGGATGAGATGCGCAGTTCCGTGGAATATGCACACGCGACCGCGGGGATGTTCAATTATGAAGCGCTGTCCGCAGTGGAAACGTGCGCCAAATTCGAGGCCCGGTGCACGTCTCCACAGCGGTCAGCGGATGGTCTGTCGTTTTAGAAGATAACAATGAAGACTTTGGTCAAAATAAGAACTATCGGCAGCTAAATAAGAGCAATATACAGACCTTTGAATTTCTTGACTAGTCAGTGAAATGGCTTGTTGGGGGTCCTTTATGCAGAGCTTCTAATTGAAATGGCCCATGAAATTGTCAAGTGGAATTGTGTTTTTCGGAACCCCAAAGACACCTGATCTCTGATCAATCACGCATTCAGACGTAAACAATAAGAGAGATGAAATTGTGTTGAGTTTATGGCTCTTGACGAAGGTGCATTGACGTACAAGACTGATAAAAGCACAGGCACTTAGAACGTCTCAATAAAAATAAATCTTCACACAATTTTTCACAATGATCGACTGCCTGTGTGCAAAATAAGTGAACGTATGTGAAACATTATGGTTAGTACTTACTGTGACATATCCGTGACTAACTGACACCACTAAATTGGTAAAATGTTTTATGCACCTTAAGAAATGCTGAGAAATTACGAGGTTATCATCGCAGAACTCCCCAACACCGCCCATTCTCATGTCACAAAGCTATATGTAACAACAAACACGCGTGTTGCGAGGAGCCTGCCTCCGATATTCATTTCGAGGCCCGCTAAGCCAAGCATAAAGCGCGGGGCAAGACGTCACACACACAGCTACGTTCATTGGCTAAAACAATCGAGTAGCGCGGTTAGGGATTTTCGGAATTATTTAATTTTTAGAAAAACTTAAATGTTCAATGAATGACGCACTTGTTCACTTCCGAAAGTGGGTAAAAATGCCCAATTTTCCCACTTCGGTGCGAAATGCATCGCTCGGGCCTTTCATTATTTACGAAAAGCAAACAGTCTCACCAAACACCTATACGCAGTAACGGGTCACGCCGTTGACGCCCCATTCATGCCCATCAACGAAGAAGGCGGGGCTTATTCTGATTACGGAAATGCGAAAATGCAACAGAAGGACGTAGCGCAGTGCGCTAAACAGCGTGTTATTTTCGTGTTTGTGCCAAACTCTATCGTAGGAAACCGTTCTAGCCTAGCACAATGCCCTAGTTCCTGAGATCGGCGATTTGGTGGTCCAATGGGTCCCCATATTTAAAAATATAAGACATTGGTGCGGCGTAGGCTGTGATTGGAAGACACAAAGTGTCAATCTTCGCGCGCCTTGGCATCATGGCCGCATCACGTCTAGTGTATCTCCATGGGTTTTATGAAGTGCAACTCAGCATTTATATGTACAGGCGCAGAGTTTCTGTTATCATATTGACCATCAGTGGTGAGAAACCGTGTTTATACTAGGTTTATGCTAGGTTTATGCTAGGTGGGAGCACCACTGAGCAGGTGACATTGAATCATTGATTTGTGCTTTACACGCGCACGTACGCACGCATGCTGCACACACATACACAACAGACCACGTGCACAGGAAAGCCCACCGGGCCACACACAGCACACCACACTCCAGGGACAGCGCCCCTGCAGCACACACCCCGCGCAGACAACAACGCACACGCACACACACACAAGACAGGGCGGCCGGGCGACGCAAACACGCCACACACACAGCGCGCACGCACAACCACACACCACCGACACACCTACGCGCACACGCCACCGCGCAACGCGAGGCCAGCACACACGAGCAGCGGCACACACACACAGCACACATGCACAGCACCACACACACAACACACACAGCACCGGGTGCACACAACACAACACACAGCACTGCGCACCGGCACACACCGCGCACGAACACCACAGCACATCACACACACCAACACACAACAGCACACACACACAACACACACATACCACATGCACACACACACTACACGCACACACCAAGGGCACCGCAGCAACGCCCACACACAGCACCACAACACACCTGCACACACACCTGCGCACACACACACTGCACACACACACAAGGACCGACACACAGCGAGCACCACACAGGGGCACACCACAACACACCACACCCAGCACCGATGCAGCAACAGCACACACCACAGCGAACACACACAACATGGCAACACACACACACAATCACACCACACACACATGCACCACACCACACCTTTACACACACGAAATTAATATGAAATTCATCATGTTAAGCTGCATCGGTTTCATTCTTTTGTTCCTAGGCAAACGGCATCAAGATAGGGCCTCAACATTCACCCAGCAACCCGAACATGCCCCAGGGTGGTGGCCTTGCTAATCCCGGAGGTGGTGGCTGCTGCTAAGACCAAGTACTATGTGTTGTACATTTACATCGGAACAGCCAAAGTTGCTTATCAGAGTGAATTGCGTGTACAACTGAATAGTATAAGGAGTGTATCCAAAAAAAATTAAAACAATTTGAAATGCATGCACGAACAGGGACCTTTATTATGATGTAAAAATTTCTTTTGGTGCAAGCTGGCTGTGCCCTTAAATGCATTCCTCAGTTGCTTTGTGCAAAGGGAGTGGCTGTGTTAGGTGCGTGAAATAAATACTGGTACTCCTGAAATTTTAGTCACACAGTCGTCAAGAAATGAGCATATGGACGTCGTTGTCTTATAAATAATTGTGAGTCAAGTACGGATTATCCCCGACTGTGGTACTTTCTGCGTTCCAAAGCTGAACGTGTCACTGCTCAGCTTTCGACAGCCACAAACAATTTCGTGTATGCTGGTCTATTTTGTCTAGTCAGGTCATGGCGATATCTCTGTATAGAAGGATGAGCCGAGTTCAATATCATTGTTTTCTTGTGACATTATTTAGAATAAATTTTCAGTATTGTGTCATGTTTCGTTGGTATCAGAGGATAGCATTTCATTCTTGACACAAGTTTGCCAACAGGTAAATTCTGCAGAAATGGAATACGCTGTATTCTTACTAGGTATATGCTATTTCATCTTTTTTTAATTTCTCACAAATATTATTCATTTTGCTTATAATTCAAGTCATTTTTATGCTCGGAAACACGTTTCTGTTTTCAGTTTCATGTACATAATTCAAACTACATTAATTATTCCCTTGAGTTATTTTTTGGAAATGCACATTGAAGTAGAAACCACGGCAAACTTATGGGGTCTCTGGCTTTGTAACGGGTACCCTTTTCATGAAAATTAAAAAATTATTAAAAAGGTTACATATGCACGCACGAACTGACGCACGTACACAATTGTGTTGTGCATTTTAACTTGTGAATTTATTGTGCATGTAACACTGTAAAATGTTAATGTTGTATGAGCACATGGTAATTAATCATTTGTTAGTGATAGATCTGTAATATTGAGTGTTCAATCTGCATTAGCCGTAGTCCACATTCAGCACAATGTCTGTTATTTCAATTCTCAGCAACCACGTAGGTATTCTGTCTTTATTGTGCTGCACCAACAACAGAGACGTTCTGTCTTTGTTGTGCTGCACCAATCATGCGGACGTTCTGCATGTGTTGTGCTGCACCAACCATGCGGACGTTCTGCATGTGTTGTGCTGCACCAACCATGCGGACGTTCTGCATGTGTTGTGCGTGCCGACCACCAGTGCGCGACGTTTCCAATTTTATGTTGATGTTGCCCACAACCATGCGGACGTTCTCCATGGTGTTGTGCTGCACCACCATGCGGGCGTTCTCCATGTGTTTGTGCTCATGCACAACTATGCGGACGTTCTGCCATGTCTGTTTGTGCTGCACAACCATAGCGAGCTTGGGTGTAGCAGTACTGTAATTAATCTGTGAATTTGTACATGCGTTTTCTATTCTAGACTTGAAATGGTTTCTTAGGTTTCTTGTCGGTAGATTGTGTCTGGTTTGAATAGAAGTCCAAATATTGCGTCCTCTGCCTTAGTATGTGGTAATTCTTGGCACGCGTTGCATATCAACAGGATGTAATTTTGTAATAGGAATTCTTACGGTTTATTTAATTGAAAGACAGCATTATAGTTGGTAGATCTGGTTGGGCTGTGAGTTTAAGAAAAAATTATTAGTGTTTGCAACTACATTCATGCCTTGTGCCCGATTTCTCTTATTAGCCGTTATCTGGATGTTTATAATTGAAAACCGTGTATACATATAAATTTTCTATACATTTTTCAATTTTAGTATTGATCAGTCATATGCTGCGATGTGATGTATTATTTACACACAACCAGCTACGATATTATGTATATTTAATTGATAATGTATAGTAATGTGTATTTTTACCATTTTATGCTTTCTATCTTGTCTTGTTTCTCTAATTGAGTGTTTCTTATGTGCAGTATTTTCCGGATTTGTTGCAACTTTACGAGTATCTATACTGAAGTTGTTTTCCCTGTTTACTATAGTAATTATTTATTGTTCTTGATTCCCTCCCCCACCCCACCTCTCTCTCCTGTTCTCCCCTCTCTCTCTCTCTTTTGTAGTTTGTACTTGCCAACAGTCCTAAAAGGCAAACTCATGCCTATGATATTGACGGACTATAAAACGAAGTTAAGTGAAAATAACTTGTTCTGGTCGAAAAGTTGTCCGGGAAAAATTCTTTGGTTTTCTTATTTATTTACTGTCGCGTTTTTAGGTTATGAATGTCGGATTAGCATAGCCAATTAGGTAGGTATAATATTTTAAAAATGATAAACCAAAGGCAGATTGTCTTTCAGCAAAAGTATTTTGTAGCGGCACATATGTATCCCTATCAGTAAGTAACATGGTAACTAGTATAATCATAGGTCTCGACTATCTGAACAATGATATATGAAAGGCACGTGGTTTTTTTTTTTTAGTTTCCCCGACACTTTAAACAAATGATAATATTCTTACAATTAGTATATATGCATACCTATAGTGAAAGTTAACACTAGTGCGCGTTCACACGTGGGCGCGAATAAGCGGGATGCAAATTCCGGTTTTTGCATCGCGATTGCGACATACGAGATTTATTACAAGTGTGAACGCCAATAATACCCACTATATTCGCGCTCAAATCGCACTTTTGACTGCGAATTATTTGGCGAATTACGCGTGTGACGCTCGCGCAACTAATCCCGTGGTATTTTCTATCCCATCGCATTCAATGCGACGTTGAGCAGTGATGCATGAGCTAGCGCATAGTGAGCCATCATTCCGGCAGTGAGCATGCGCAGTTCTATTAATAGAATTATCCCACTCGGCGATTAGCGCGATTATTCGCCTGTGTGAACAACGATACAATTTTCTCGGTATTTCATCGCGATTAGCATCGCGGTTTTTCTTGTGTGTGAACGCGCCTATTATTGACTACTAATTCCCACGCGTATGTAACCATATCCAGCAAAGCAAACCATTTGCAACTCGTCTACTGCTATATACTATATATACTACCATATACTCGTAATCGAACTAATTTCTACCCACTTACTTATGTTTCCCGTCTTTCGAGTGTAGCGTTTTTGTCAAGTCGTGGCTACTTAACCTACTATGTCAGGTTGCGCGAGGACGTTCCCTAGAGACACAGAAGTACACACAGAAAATACATTCACAAACACACCACATACTTATTGCTTAATTACGAGGCGTCCCGGTACTACCGCCACTCCGCGTTGTACAAGACCGACCGCAAGGTCGATTGCAGAAGGCAAATCAGGGGATTCACCCACTGATCTCTATAATAAAATTATATTATATTATAGAGATCAGTGGATTCACCCAACAAATCAGGGACATCAGCACCCAACGTTGGAACCACAGGCACTTGAAGCGTTTCAATAAAATATAATGCTAAATAAATACGAAATCTATTTACTACCAAATTCTTAATGTTTCTATACTCTACATTTAATGTCATTTACAGGAAACTGTCGGCAATAATAGGTGAAAGAGAGTATAGAAACATTAAGAATTTGGTAGTAAATAGATTTCGTATTTATTTAGCATTATATTTTATTGAAACGCTTCAAGTGCCTGTGCGTGGAACGATGTTGCGGAAATTTTTTTTTGTCATTTCAGTGTTGACTAATCTATGTATACATTGTCGAAACCATGGTGGCAATGATGGTTTCGGCTCTTAAAGCTTACTTAGGACCTCCCCCCTCCAACCGTAAAATTGGGTAAGCTCACCATGGATCCTTGTCTCCAGCGCGTCTATCCTCTGCTGCGCAGCGCACCAGCGCATGACCTACCTTAGCTGGACCTAGCTTAGCTGGAGTGCGATAATGGTAGTCGTGCACTGCAGGCAAGGCCCCTACGTCATGGATCATGAATAGATAGATAGGTAGATAGATCATGAATAGATAGATAGGTAGATAGATCATGAATAGATAGATAGGTAGATAGATCATGAATAGATAGATAGGTAGATAGATCGCGCAAAATGCATCGCTCGGGCCTTCATTTATATTGACGAAAGCAACACGCTCACCACAACACCTATACGCAGAACGGGTCACGCGTTGACGCCCCATATTCCATGCATCAACGAAAGAAGCGGGCTTATTCTGATTACGGAAATGCAAATGCAACAGAAGGACGTAGCCATGTCGCTAAACAGGTTGTTTATTTTCGTGGTTGCTGCCAAACTCTATCGTCAGGAAACGTTCTAGCCTAGCCCACAATTGCCTAGGTTCCTGAGATCGGCGATTGGTTGCGTCAATGGCCGTCCCCATATTGTTAAAAATATAAGACATTGGTGCGGCAGTAGGGGTGGTGATGCGAACGAACAAAGTGTCAATCTTCGCGCGCCTTGGCATCATGGACCGCATCACGTCTTAGGTATCTCGCATGGGTTTTATTGAAGTGCAACTTCAGCATTTTATATGTACAGCCGCAGAGTTTCGTTCATCATATTGCACCATCAGTGCGTGAGAAAACCGTGTTTAATACTAGTTTATGCTAGTCTTTGCTAGGTGGCGAGCACCACTTGAGCAGGTGACAGTTGAATCATTGATTTGTGCCTTTACACTGCGCACGTTACGCACGCCCCATGCTGCACACCACATACACCACACACAATCACAGACACACACACACACACTGCGCGACACACACGCGCACGACACACGCACACCGCACCACACACACACGCGCACGCACACACACACACAGCACACCGCGCACGCACACACACACACACACACACACTGCGCACACACACTGCGCCACCCACACACACACAGCACAACACACACACACAACACACACACACACTTACACACACACACACACACACACACACACACACACACACACACACTGCGCACACACACCGCGCACACACACACACACACACACACACACACACACACACACACACACACACACACACACACACACACACATGCACACACACATACACGCACACACACACACACCGCACACGCCACACACACACACACACACACACTGTCACACACACACTGCGCACACACACACTGCACACACACACACACACACACACCACACACACACACACACACACACACACACACACACACATGCACACACACACACACACACACACCACACACACACACACACACACACCACACACACACACATGCACACACACACACACCTTTACACACACGAAATTATATGATTCATCATGTTACAGCTGCATGTTTTCTTCTTTTGTTCCTAGGCAAACGGCATCAAGATAGGGCCTCAACATTCACCCAGCAACCCGAACATGCCCCAGGCGTGGTGGCCTTGCTAATCCGGAGGTGGTGGCCTGCTGCTGAAGACCAAGTACTATGTGTTGTACATTTACATCGCGCAACAGCCAAAGTTGCTTATCAGAGTGAATTGCGTGTACAACTGAATAGTATAAGGGAGTGTATCAAAAAAAATTAAAACAATTTGAAATGGCATGCACGAACAGGACCTTTATTATGATGTAAAAATTTCTTTGGTGCAAGCTGGCTGTGCCCTTAAATGCATTCCTCAGTTGCTTTGTGCAAAGGGAGTGGGCTGTGTTAGAGTGCGTGAAATAAATACTGGTACTTCCTGAAATTTTAGTTCACACAGTCGTCAAGAAATGAGCATATGGACGTCGTGTCTTATAAATAATTTGGAGTCAAGTACGGATTATCCCCGACTGTGGTACTTTCTGCGTTCCAAAGCTGAACGTGTCACTGCTCAGCTTTCGACAGCCACAAACAATTTCGTGTATGCTGGTCTATTTTGTCTAGTCAGGTCATGGCGATATCTCTGTATAGAAGGATGAGCCGAGTTCAATATCATTGTTTTCTTGTGACATATTTAGAATAAATTTTCAGTATTGTGTCATGTTTCGTTTGCGTATCAGAGGATTAGCATTCATTACTTGACACAAGTTTGCCAACAGGTAATTCTGCAGAAATGGAATACGCTGTATTCTACTAGGTATATGCTATTTCATCTTTTTTTAATTTCTCACAAATATTATTTCATTTTGCTTATAATTCAAGTCATTTTTTATGCTTCGAAACACGTTTCTGTTTTCAGTTTCATGTACATAATTCAAACTACATTAATTATTCCCTTGAGTTATTTTTTGGAAATGCACATTGAAGTAGAAACCACGGCAA